TAGATCAAACGAAAAAGCTTCTGTACAGCAAACTCTTGCTCACGTGAAGAGACACCCTACTGAACTGGGGAAAACATCTGACAAAGAGCTAGTGTCCAAGATCTGCAGGGACCACATACAACTCAACACAAAAAATGGGCAGGAGAGCTAGAAAGACGCTTCTTCAAAGAAGACATACAGATGGCCAATAGGTACCTGAAAAAATGTTCAACATCACTTACCATCAGGGAAATGCAAACCAAAACCTCACCGTACTAAGAAGGCCAATGTCAAAAACGCAGGAACAAGTGGCTGAGAACAGACGAATGGTACGAAGGGAGACTTGTCCAGGTCCTGTGAAAACAGTAAGGAGGTTTCTCAGTTTTTAAAACAAATCTTCCTTATGATCTAGCAATTCCACTTTTCTACCTACCTGAAGAATACAAAATCACCAATTTGTGAAAATACGTAAACTCTTATTTTTTTTTAAGATTTATTTATACATACAAGGGTGGGGTTCAGAGGCTCTGGATGGGGGTGAGAGTATTCACTGGACACAGAGTGGGGAGCAGAACAGGCAGATTGACAAAGTACGCTGTAGAATGGAGCAGCAGGCAAGACAGGAGAGGTCTGCTGTGCCATGTGGGTCACCTCCCTGGCCAGGGATCAAACTCGTGCTGCAGTGTTGGTGGATAGCTTCATGGTGCTGCGGCTTAACCTATTGAGCCACCAGGGAGACTCCCTCCTCTTTGTTTGTTTCTCTCAGTGTGACATGGACATTCTTCTGACACCACCATGCTCCTGTCCCCTTATAGGGGAGCATGGAGTTCACATACCCAGTCATGGTGTGTCACTCACCTGACTGTTCCAGTACGAATTAGAATCTTTACACTTAAAATACACAGATCCAGAAGTGGTCAGCTCCCAGACTTTCTTTTATTCTGTATTATTCTTTGATTTCTTGGTAAAAACCAGAAATTATGTACTCACAGTGGCCTAAGAACAGAGTGAGTGTGCTGAACTACATTATACAACTTCTCCAGATGTGACTCTGATTCTGCAGTCACCAAATTACATCGTCACTTGTCAGTTGAATTCACAGCTCTGCCAGGTCGCTGGTAAAATTAGGACACTGATCTTGGGAAGAGAATTATGGGACAGTGGGAGGAAGATTTGGATGATATAGAGCTCCCTTTACCCCCAGGCCCACTTAGCCCAGCCACAGAAGCAGTCCCTCCTCATTGGCACAATAGGACTGCCTCTGCCTTGCCCAGAGATGACCTTGCCTTGCAGTTACCCTGCAGAGTGTTCTAGTTGTTTATTGCATAGCAACAAGACACTCCACAAATGGTGGTTTAAATGACAAAGG